GTTGCATTTGTACATGTTGATGGTAACTTTAGTTGCCGCCTCGAGTGCAGTAGGACAGCGTGAGGCAAATCGAGGGATTGGCAAAGATAGAAAACATTGTACGCTTTCACAACCTGTATGGATGAACAAGGAAAAGATAACGATGGTTTGTAAACATGGAAGAGACTGATTCTTTACCAAAATAACAGCCTTAAGCTGTGCAAATAAAGTCCCGTTGTACTCCAGAAGTTTTAGCCATTAATAGCGCTCTGTTAGTTAATAAAGTTAAGCCAGAGGAAAATATAACACCTTTAAATCTGACACATTATGAGCAAAAGCTGTAACAGATAATAAATTGGTAGATAAACTCCTGACTCTTTTAAGAATGTGCAATTCTTGGATTTATTCACCTTCCCATCTCTTGGAAAATTTTCTCCTCACTATTTGCTAAACAAACTGGTCACAAAGCATGGAGAAGCATAATTGCTAAAGAGAAAATTAGGACATCTGTAGTGAAGTAAGCTTTTAGGATCAAGTTTTATAGTTCCACGGATAATGGATAATTTAATCATGAATAACACTTTGTCTTACCTTAAAGATATATAACAAACAACATATCCGAATTTCAACAAGCTCGTTTTGATTTCGATCAATGATGTGGTAGTACTTGAAACAACTTCCAAATTGTAGTTACTAGCACAGAAATTTCATGCAGAATTTATCATTATTGGTATACAATGTCATTACAGTGTACTTAAAACAACATTCACTACAGATAAGACACGGGGTAATGGAATGAATAGCCAGATAAGTTAATTGAAGATCAATAAACTCTTGTCGGTTGCAAATCAACCAAAGGAAATTAGTGAAAATGAACAAGCTACTGCATGAAATCCATGTGAAGCGGTAACTCTTATGTCAAGTTACATGATTCCATTTGTTTAGATCTGAATTCACAGTCTATCTATTAAACATTCCTCAAACCCGGCATATGTTTTCCCTCTCCTGGTATAGTATAAACTATTGCAGCAACAAACAAATGTACTCTTGAATGTGGAGCTGATTCAAGCCGACATACTTACACAGGCTATAGCAAATCACGACATCAAGTAAAAACGAACGTAATGCCAGTTTTGTTGTATGTCATCACGACAGAGAGAAGGAGGAGTTTAGCCACCTCGGGAGGCGGAGATGAGGTAGAGAAAGTCCTGTCCCAGCTCGGGCGTGAGGCCGCCGTCTTTGTGCTCCTGTATGTACTTGCGGATACGGTTGTAGCGCTGGAAGACATTTCTCAGCTCCTCCTGGTTGCGGAGCTTTTGAAGCCTCACCTCCTCCGGCGGCTGGGATGCCGTTTCCGTCGGAGGTGGGGAGGAGGTTGAAGGCGCCACAGCACCTAGGGTTTCGGGAGGCGGCGGGGCAGGGGAAGGAAGCCGCGCGGGCGCCGGATTGGAGGAGGAGGGGCTTGGGTCCTGGGCGTCGGCGACCTTACGTTTCTTCGGCTGCGGATCCGCCGCCGGCGACGCCATGATCGGGCTGCCACGGGGAGAATTTGACGACGGTTCGGCCACAGCCGATTGGCGTTTCTCGCCAGCGCTTCCCTGAGACTGAGACAAACCTCAAATAAAATGGGGTTAGTATTCTGCGGCGGTTTTGTGTGCCCTGTTCGCTTGGCGCAACGATGGAAAGCACCGTCGGCTGATTTGTTGCGATAGAAAAATATTCTCCGTAAAAAAAAAAAGAGCATGGCTTATAAGCTAAGCGATCAGAACGTGAACTACGTGCCTTTTTGTGCTTTGTAAATAAAACATGTACGCAAACTTTTTGTGGCTGACGGGTAGGATCATAGAACTTATCGGAGTGGTTGGTGGAACCTTTTAGGAGTCTTAGCACCGTGTAGTGTAGACATCGACTGTGTGAGTGAGGTTCTCTGCAGGCCCATAGAACGCAACGGAAAAGGTAACGACGCTTAATGGCGTTGATGCCGATGCTGGCGGTCCATCCACCGATGGATCAACAGTTGTGCTCCCGGATACGCTGATAGTGACTATCGGTGCTGAGGTTGGCGGTCACCGATACATCAGCAACGATATGTGTTGACATGATGGTATGGTAGACACAAAGTAGAAGAAATTGTCTATATGATGCTCTGGTGGTTCATCCAACTAAGCACCAGAATTTGTCATGGAATGATCAAAATCCAGCGGTTGAAATGCCTCGTCTACCTCTAACCAATGGCTTTCTCCAATCTACGTTCTCCATTATTATCACAACATTCTAGCCCTATCCCTCTAGGGTAGCAAGCTCAAGCATGACATGACTCGTCTACGCTAGCTGTCTTTTTCACCTTTGGCGTTTTTATGCCCCTAGATCTATAGAGCTACTTCCTACCGCAACGCTTATCAGAGTCGTGAGGATATCCCACGACACCTTTGCCCTTGCCTCGTCCAACAGGCTTTCTCTCACTACTCGGTCGGCTGCGACACTGCTCTTGCGCCCACACCGTCGCCAATCTAGTCTTTTGCTATTAGATTTCCAAAAATCCCTTCTAAATCAGCCAAACTCTAACAAACCACCAAAGCCCATACCCTGATCCTTAACCTCACAAAGCCGCTTACCTTTTCTTTCCCTAACCTCACCAGATATGGAGAAGGATAAGGGGAGAGATGAGTAGAAAGGGGGAAAATCTAACTCCGCTCCCTACGAGCACCGCAAAGACAAAGAGCGGAGAAAACGAAATGGAAAACTAAAAGAGGTCACCAGAGTGGTGGCGTAGGATTTGAGAGGGCTATTTATTAAGGCAAGGATCGATAATTAGGGTTTTAATAGCATTTTAGTCCGTCCGATCCTTGATGCACGCTTTGATTAGAAATATTAGTAGTTTCCATCTCTTCTTTCTAGATCTAGACTAACGCTCACTTGAATAAATGCTCCTAGAATTAAAAAAGCATAGGAAGTGTTTGCTTACTAAAATGTTAATAAAAACTATCAGATTACACTAAGGCTAGAGTTGTATCGACTTTGTATAGTGGTACGTGTTAACGGTAGAGCTTGATTACAAGAGGACGGAAACAAGCATTGATTGGCCCGTTACCTACCGTAATCAAGTCACATTACACCTACATGAATCAAAACTATCATATATCTATATATACCTCTATATGTCCAGAACCCAACATAGAAACATTGTGCAAAATGTTTCTTTCCATGCTAAGGTTGAAATCTAGGTGAATCTCACAAGAGTATATTTTTGAAAGAAGAATTACTCCGTTTTTAAGAAAGCAGTTACGAGTCTTACAAACTGGGAAACCAACTTACGATGACAATACCGAAACAAACCAAAAAGAAAAGAGCAACATCCTCTAAACGGAAACACAACAGACATTACACAAAACACTATATCAGAGCTCGTGTCTGAACACTTCTTCTTGTTGATCCAATCCTCCAAGCAGTGCGCTATCTTCCTCAGCTTGCCCTTATCGTCCTCCTTAAGAAGTTCTCCCCGCACCCGCATAAGATTGATAGTTACGTAAATCACCACATCTAGGTTAGAGGGATAATTTTTTTCAATGGCCGTCTTGTTCCTGTTCTTCCAGGTCCATCCATGTCGCCCACGCCAAACCTGCAAAGAAGAAGAAGGCTATCCTTTGAGGGACTCCTAGCCTCCTTGGCAACCATTTGAAACAGAACTTCTTGGATAGATACTGGAAAGTGATTCCAACCAAAAGCGTCTCTAATACAACACAAAATCTGCTGTGCTAACACACACTCAAAGAAGATGTGTTTAACGGTCTTAGGTCTATTGTAGATACAACAGAGATGTCAACCATGCCAACCTCTCCTTTTTCAAAGACGTTGCAATTTGCAATTTATCATGGAAAATCTACCACAGGAATTTTTTTACTTTTAAATAAACTTTGCTTCTCCAAAGTAATTTGCTAAGTTGATCCCTGACCTCCTCATGAATCATAGCATAGTACGGAGACTTTGATGTAAAGACATTGGACTTATCAATAACCCATTTCACTTCATCATCTCGAGTCAAATCAAGTTGAACCTCTCCCAGAAGCCTTTTCAAATTCCCCCAATCTTCAACTAGCTCACCATGTAAACTTATTCTGAAAGAAACACACCACTCATTTCCATCCCAAGCTTCCCGAACTATCACATCTGGATCATTACAGATATTATACAAGGTGTGAAACTAAATCTTCAATGGTATACCTCTAAGCCACGAGTCATGCCAGTATCTAACCTTATCCCCTTCAAACACTATATTCAGCTCCCCACTGAAACAAATGCTTGACCTTATGAAGACCATTCCAGAACTAATTTGATCAGAACCAAAGAAATTATTATTCTGCATATACTTGTCCTTCAATAGTTTGTACCACAAATCCTATGGCCCTGTCTCAATCTTCCAAATCCACTTAGTAAGAAGACATTGGTTCATGATCTCTGTTTTGATAATCCCCAAGCCCCATGTATTTTAGGTTTACAAATTAATACCCACTTTGCCATATGATATTTGAAAACATCCTCAGCTCCTCTCCAAAAGAATCTAGATGTAATTGTGTCCATTTTGGTATGTACCCCTTTTGGAAGGAAGTAACAACTCATCACATACATAGGCAGGCTACTTAAGCAAGAATTTGTCAAAATGAGCTTACCCTGAAGTCAGGATTTCAAGTGTAGGAAAAACCATAGCGACAATTTTGTTTGGGCCAGCGAGAAAAGAATACGTATGGACTATGGACCTACAGTCGACGAGGCCCATAGGCCCAAACCAAGAATGGACCTTCGTCGAGGCTACGCGTCACTGCCTTCTTCTCACGCGCGGGAACAGCCAAGGAAGCCCCAAATTTTCCCGCGTTCGTGGTCTCCCAGTTCTCCATTCCCCAACCGGCCAACCCCAACCCCAACCCCAACCTAGCATCCTTGCCTCCTGGTTCAGATAGCGTCGCCGCCGCACCGTACCCACACCTCCGGTGGCCAGCGCGCCCATTTCCCGCCGAGCGAGCGCGATGGCCTCGACCAGGGATCTAGCCATAGCTTCTCTCTCAGCTGCGGCCGGCGCCGTTGCTGCCGCAGCTGCGCTGCGCCTCCTGTCTTCCCGCAGAACATCCTCCGTCAGACCCCAGAACCTTTCCCTCGCCACCAACGGATCCGTCTCCGAGCGCCTGCTGGCGCAGTCGCCCTTTGATCCTGCCAAGAGGGAAGGGTTCGTCCACGCTGTCCCACCCTCGTTAGCGATCCTTGTGCCAGTTCCGCTCGTCTTGAGTCTCCTGTGCGGATTCATAGCGCTTGTCTGTGCAGGTATATTTCCTGGGACGACTACTTCATGGCGATCGCCTTCCTTTCGGCTGAACGGTCCAAGGATCCTAATCGGCAGGTAAACGACATCTGTACTGGATATGTATTCGCGCCAAAGCTGTTTGCGGAAATTCCTTAGTGACGCACTGATGCTGGAACATGCACAGGTCTAAATATGCAATCAAATGGTCAAATTCCGTCGACTTGACATTTCAGTCACACTGTATTACTAGAGCCTTCTTAGCACTAGTTACTAGGCCATGTTAAATACTCCCTCTGTTCCATGTATCAAATTATACATACCAAAATCTATGCACCAAAAAAGTCAAAGCAACTTGGAGGGAGTAGTATTTATACTTCATTGAACAATGCTCTATTGATCTTTTGCAACCGACGATGAATAAAATTCACCACAATTAGCAACAACAGGATCTTTTGTTTCTATTGCGAAAAACTTTACATCTGTGTATTGAACACTTCAATAAATCTTTCCAAGTCCATTTCAGCACTTCAAATTTTATAAAAGAAAAGGACCAAATCGACAGACTTCATTTCTACTTTGTGTGACAATACTAAAATAAGTCTATTACTTCTTTGTAGTCTTGATTAAAACATGTCACTTTCTGCTTGATTTGTTATAAATGGAAGAGGGAGAAGATGCTTGTTTTGGCATCCTTTGCATACTCATGAAATACATTTGTCACAGTATGTCAGATAATGTAATTTTTGTTCCTTTACCTATGTGAGTGATGAAATTATGAATTGATTGATATGCCATCCATTTCACTCAGGTTGGAGCATGTTTGGTTAGCCAAGAGGGAATAATCCTAGGTGAGGATGAAGCTGTACTGCTGCAGAATGCTCTGTATACACTGCTATGCATTCGTGTATGTATTAATTTGATCAGGAGAGTGCCTGGTGTATTGGGTCTATGATCTGTGCTGATAAATGCTGGAGTGTGTATGTTTATTCCCGTGCTTCATGTTGGAAATTCACTACCCATACTCCATAACTTCCATCCTTTTTTTTTTGCGAAGTCTATAACTTTTTCCTGTCTAGTTCATACTCTTGATGGTTTGGTCCCAGTTCTGCTATTCCAATCATATATCCAAGAGCAGGAATAAGGGAGCAGTAAATAATTTCTATAATAGTTGATTCCTAATTTAACATGGCATTAGTGGTATCTTTTCTGTGGTGCGTTTATAGAGCCTATCTTGGCTTATGACAATATGCAACTTGGTTCACCATAAACTTGTTCTGGTTGCTGATGGCTGTATTTTCTGTGATGGGTCTATTGTGATGAATATAGCTGTCATGTCCAACATTTAAAGATGCACATTGTATTTGACAATGTAACTCAGCTGTTTTCTAACCAGGAATTGGCTACAATGGCTTCCCTAGAGGTTGTTCCGATGACAAGCTTCCATGGGCAAAGGTACATTTTCTTTATCTGAAGTTCTATTTTGGATCTATTAGTAGTTGGTGTCCACTCAACAACAAGAAATAGAAGGTTAATTAATAATCTAGTCAAATACCACATGCCAGTTTCAAAATACATCCACAGATTCACTTCCTCACTTTTCAAAAAAAGTTTGCATCTTTCACATATGATGAGGAAAGCGATACTATTTTGCTAATTGTTTTCTATTTCAGAAATCTGCAAATGGAAATCCATTAGCGACAAAATTTCCGTAAGTAATTAATTTCTCTCGTTATTCCTGGTCTCATTGCCATTATTTTGTTTTCCCATTGATACACACCTATGTTTTCTGGACACAGACACCATACTATTTATCAATACATGATCTTAACTAAACTATGTTCATTGATCTTGTCCCAAATGTATGAAAACAACTTGCCATAAAAAACTAATTTAAATATTTGATTGATGATGTACCAGAACTCTTATGTGTATATATACTTCTAATTTCTTTCAACTGAGCAATGCACAACAAATGTCTTACAAAAACGAGCAATGAAACAACCATAGCACTGTGAGGCTGACTTCAGAATATGTGCTTTCTTGCTTCTACTCTATGAGTTCCACCCTCAGTTTCATGGCCTTAAACTTTGTGAAATTATTCTATGTTGAGTGATTATTATATTTATAGTAATCTGGCTTTGTTGCACAATCCTGAGGTACAGATTGTGGATTTTATGTTGCTTATTGATTCTCATGACAAGGGCGACAATAAATTCTCATATTGAAAGAGGAGTCCAGTAGCAGCACTTTATATGATATAAATTGTAACCGATTATATGTATTTTTGCATCCTAGCAGCTACGTTGTTCATGCTGAGGTTAATGCAATTCTAAATACCAACCATGCTTCAGCGGCTGGACAGGTTTGGTCATTTCAGTCTCCTAAACCATTATACATTTCATTCAATTTTTATAAAAGCTTTACTGGTTTTCTGTGTTTCTTCTCTCACAGAAGTTATATGTCACCATGTTCCCATGCAATGAATGTGCCAAGATTATTATTCAGGTTTGTCTCTTTGTAGGATCATGATGTTAGTTATGGTTGCAGTTTAGGGTAGTGCATTTAAATTTTCTCCCACACTGGCCAATGTTGTCATTCATTTTGTACACGACATGTATCCCCAAGTTTCTTACTATGCACTTGTAAGTATTCACCTAAGCTTGATATGGGCTCTGCCTTTTCATGCTAAACTGCAATGAACCACTGCAAGCTTCCCCTGTTAAAGCTTGCCTGTGCTCAATTTATTAAGTGAGGTTGCATACACACTGCAGTTCAGCAACAAAGATCTACTTGTTTGGCTTTGGCATTTGTATGGTAGTCCAGCGCGATTCCCCATGCAGCCATTTTCCTTTCACTGAAAGTCTAATAAAAGAACAGCCAACACAAAAATAATTTCTTCATGCAGTTCTAATAATTATTGCTTGAGTTCTAACAGCATGCTGATATTTCTTACAGTCAGGCGTGTCTGAGGTCATTTATTTCGTCGAAAAAAAGATTGACAACTCAGCTCATGTTTATGTTGCCTCTCACAAGCTATTATCAATGGCTGGTATCAAGGTCCTGAAAATCAATTTCATTTTGATCTGCTCCCTCCATTCTAAATTATAGGTCATAGCTTTGTTCTAAATCAAACCTCTCTAACTTTGATGAAGTTTATAGAAAAATTCATCAACATCTACAGTATCAATTATCAAATTAGTTTCATTAAAATTTCCATGAAATATGTTTTGATAGTGCATTTATTTGAATTTGTAGATGTCTGTATATATTTTTTTTTTCTAAAAACTTGGTCAAATTTAGAGAAGTTTAAAGGGCAAATCTAAAAGGAATATAGCAGTGCTTCTGCTGATTCGTTCAAAAAAGTCTAAAGCGAACTATGATTTGGGTGGAGAGAAGAACAGTTTGTTGGCGTGTACTATTAGAACAAACTCTAAAGCGAACTATAATTTGGAGCGGAGGGAGTAACAGTTGTTGGCGTGTACTGTTAGAAAGCCTAAAGACTTCCTTGTGCAACGTCTGCAGGTCAGGAAGCATCAGCCCCAGATGGCACAAATACCGATCAAGTTCCAGGAGCCATGAAGCTGGTACTAGTTCTAAATAAACACTTTCTTGTGAACGAATAAACAGTGCAAGATACCTGTTGGTCTTAGCACCTGTGACAAGCGACAATGGCAGTGTCGCAGCGTTCTCAGTTGGTATGCGCCTATGCGGCAGCCGATCCCTCCCTCCAGGGTGCTGTTGTAAAATTATAGCTATAATTCGTATTGGTAATGTAAAGGCATTTCATCTGTTGTATAATTGTGGTGGTGCTCTATGGTTAGCTGATAGCCTGATACCAGATACTCCTAACATCTGTTGTATAACTGTGGTGGTGCCCAATGGTTATTTAGACCCTCACATTGATTCTATTTTTTTATGGGAATATTCACCTCCATTAGACATCAGTAGGCTATCGCCAGACAACAGGTTTGATACAAACTCCGGGGCATGGCTCAGCAACAAATCCAAGCCAGAGGCAAGAGAACTTGGCACATGGAAAGCTAAACTGTCTGACACTGTTGCAATTTCGATTACAAATAGAGATCAAGAAACAAACTCGTTAAGTATGATCGCTCTCAGCGAATGAATAATATTTTTCTCTCACAACAAATCAGTATAAGCATCAGCATAAGCTAAATTTCAGCATAAGCGAACAGGGCCATGATATCTCTACTCGGCCGCACTAAATGACCAATGGAGCTATGATCCAAATCTGTTGATGTGAGTTTGTGGTTGTGGCATCAGTCCATCTGATACTCAACTACGCCACATGTTGTAGGCTTCGCTGCTTCGGCTTACCAGAGCTTCAGCGTGCAAAATAGAAACAGCCTTCTATCTGATACTCCCTGCCCCAGCTGATTGCACTTCACCATTTCTGTTTCTCGCCACAAAACCGCCACCAGTTATTGTCTGCTGAACAAAGGAGCTACCTATGTTTATCTTTATATGTATCTTCTAGCGACGGTTTTTATTTAGACTGAGTGGACCGCCGGCTATCATTCTGATTCACAAGAAGCTTTTTGAGTTATACAAGCCGTTTTGGTATTTTTTTTATACTTAGCTTTTGTTATTACATTTATATGTACACTATATCTAAATGTACTGTAGAACTATGAATCTAAAAAAATGGCTTTATATTATTTTGGAAAACGATGCCGACTCATTTCACGTCATGAAACTCCCCAACTCTCTTTTTATCACTATATATGTAAAATATCACTTCTTTTGTCGTGGCTTGCTTTATTAATAAAAGTTCTTCGAGAATGACTTAAATTTGATCATGTTTACATAAATTTTTTAATAAGACGAGTAGTCAAATTTGGAGTAAAAAAAGTCAAACGTCTTGTAATTTGAGATGGATGTAGAATTATATACCCAATTCCTATTTCAATGAGACGTCATCCTTTTCAATATCCACTCAAACTTCGTGACACTCCTATCAGAACTTGCCTTACCAACAAAAACCAACGCGTCGTCACGGTTTTTGTTCGAAACAAGCATTTGTGCTTTGTGGTTCGGACTTCGGACGCCAAGCGCGAGGCGAAAGCTACTAGCACAATCGCATTTTCGCCGCGTGATGGCCGACCCTGCTGGCCTCCCGCCGCGGCTCCGCCCGTCCACTGCGCCGCCTCCACCCGCCGTCACGCGCGCGCTGCACGCGATCAACACCTGCACCTCCGCCGCGGCCCTGGCGCCCCTCCGCGTCCACATCCTCCAGGAACCCGCGCTCCTCCGCTCCACCGCCGTCGTCTCCGCTTTCTTCCTCTCCTGCGGCCGCCTCCGTAGCCTCGACCCCGCGCTCGTTCTCTTCGCCTCCCTCCCGAGGCCCCACGTCTTCGTCTTTAACTCCCTCCTCCGCTCCCTCCCCCCAGCCCCCGCCTGCTCACCGCTCCCGCTCTTCCGCCACTTCTTCGGCCTCGGCGTTCGCCCCAACCGCTACACCTTCCCGTTGATGCTCACCTCGCTCTCCTCTCTCTGCGAACTCAGCGTCGTGCATTCTCAGGTGGCCAAGTCCGGCTTCGCGCGCGACCTCCACGTCCGCAACGCCCTCCTTGCTCGCTACGCGGCCTGTGATCCGGGTCTGGGGCACGCTGAGCAGTTGTTTGATGAAATGCCCAGCCCGGACGTCGTCGCGTGGACAACGATGATCACCGCATACAGGAACCACGGCCGCAGTTTCCATGCTCTGGCCACCTTCCGGCGGATGTTTGCTGCATCTGTTGCTCCCAACCGCGTCACCATGGTTTCTACACTTGGTGCTTGTGCAGCACATGGTGCTGCGGACACTGGCATCTGGATCCATCAGTACGTTCAGAAGCAGGGATGGGAACTGGATGTCGTGTTAGGCACTGCGCTTGTTGACATGTATGGGAAGTGTGGACATGTTGTGGAAGGAGTCCGTGTATTCTCCGAAATGACTGAGAGGAATGTTTGTACCTGGAACTCTATCATTGGAGCGTTTGCTTTGGAGCAGGATGGAGAAATGGCTCTGCGTTGGTTCTACAGGATGAAGGCTGATGGTGTTCGTCCAGATGCTGTCACACTAATTTGTGTTCTTTATGCATGCACACATGCTGGATTAGTTGATATTGGGAGGAAAATATTTAACTTGATTGTTCAAGGCGAGTATGGGTTTCAACCTGGGATCAAGCACTTTGGATGCATGGTTGATCTTCTTAGTCGCTCTGGACACCTGGATGATGCCTTTAGGGTTGTTGAGGCAATGCCATCACAGCCAAATGCCGTCATCTGGGGCCTGCTATTGCAAGGTTGCAAGGCCCGTGGTGATACAGTCTTGAGTGAGGATGTGACAATGCGTCTGGTGGAGTTGGAGCCTGAAAACGCATCACATTATGTGACGCTTGCAAACTTGTATGCTGAGACAGGGAGGTGGCTGGAGGCTGAGAAGGTCTTGAAGCGGATGAAGAAAAAAAGATTGGCAAAGGATGCAGGCTGGAGCCTTAGGATGTTACAAAAAAAAAAGGGCAGACCCATTGCCGGAGGCTCCCACATGAGTGGGGTCTGGGGAAGGGAAAAACCGAGGCAAGCCTTCCCCCCGCAAAATCTGCGGAGAGGCTGCTTCGAACCCGCGACCTGGTGACTCAGTGAGACAACTCTCACCACTGCACCAGGCAAGCCTTAGGATGTTAGACAGGTTAAGCAAATATATAAGTGATGGAAATTTGATGGAATCTGCTATGTGAGGAACATTGGATGATCAATTAATCTGTACAGTATCAGGTAGTTAAGTATGCCTTCCTTTCACTCCGAACTAGATCACTAATGCTGCCTTGAAAAGCAAATCTATAGATGGACACTGCCTGAACCACTACAGTGACCATTGTAGACTGAGGTCATGTAGTGGGTGAAGAAAAAAGGGTTTGACAAAGGATGCAGACTGGGCCTTAGGATGTTAAAGGACAGGTCACTGATCAGGGAAGCATACAAGTCATGGATAGTAGATGGAGGTTGTGACTCATTCAATCTGTCCATGTAGAAGCACACCCTTCTTGTCACTCTAGGCAGCTACTTCAGAAATGTTTGGAAGCTAGAAACACAAGCCTTTTGACATGTAAAAGGTTAGTAAGGTGAATCAGCTTCAGTGATAGCAAATGTAATTGAGTCTTCTCATTTAAATATGGACATTTTTGGGGGAATAGATTAGTCTCTAACTCTCATCTATGCATTTTTTTTTCATTATTTCCAAGTTTTACCAGCAATATGCTAGATAGAAATTTGTAGTTTTGGACTAATAATATTCTGTTATGTATTTCTTACACCCTGGCAAAAGTTTGTATTCCCACTGTTGGGTCTGCAGCAACAATTCTATTCTATAACACTAGCAGGGAGGTTTTACAGTACTGTTCATGATATAGATGGACTAGGATAGATGGGATAGAACAAAGAACCGGCTAGCCACCCTACCTCTGCAGGCTCTTACTGCTTTTTAGGGTTCCTGTGTGATTGATATAAATGATACACATTCCTAACACATGATCCTAACAAAACAGTCTAACAAGCAAATCTCTAAGCCCAACAACTTAATCTTATCTCTAACAACCTGTTAACAACCAGATAATTCAAATGACAATTATAACTAATGATAAACGCCACTGACTGTTGCTGCTGCCCTACTGTTGGTGGGCCTCAAGGCCCATGCCCATAACAGTTCATAATTCTTAAATGGGAAAAGTTTACTTGCTTCCATTATTATTTTTGAATTCTGCTTCTTTGAATGAATAAATTTTTTTTAGCTACCTGCTAGCAAGCTGTGAATCTTGTGTAAACACAAACAGCATTAAATTATCCCTGCTTGTATGATCTTGTCCAATTTAGCAGGAATGCAAACTTCGGTTTGTTGACACTCACAAGCCCAAGTGGCTAGTGTTCTGGGGATGGACACGGATATTAATATATTATGTTGGAGTATTGCCTAAAAAAACTAATTTTGTGCATCAGTAGCACAAGTCCTGCATGTCATGGCCTGTGCAGAACACAAACGAATGAGACAAGCTAAGTTGGTTGGTACTGCTATGGAACAAGAAAATATCTTACCCTCTTAGTTTTTAGTGGTCTATAGAGATGTGCGGGCCCAGCAAGAAACTTCTTACCTAATGGTGACTTGGTTATAGAAAGCAACTCCAAACACATGATATGGCAGTAGGTGAAACCGTGCCCTTTTTTTTTGGAATATTTCTTTGCAAAGAAAACTTGGGTTAGTAACCAGATCCACCGTTCATATTTCTGTGCTTCACAGGATTATGAATGTTTTAAATCATGTTTTCCCTGGAATCCTTTCGCTTCTAGTTTTTGTCTTTTAGCATGACTCAGCACCATGTATACCTACCATTATAAAGGTGCACAAAGCTTCCAAAGGGAAGAAGCTCTTGAGGAGATACTGTAATGAAACATGGCTCCTCTGACTCCTAGACTGGTAGTGCCCATAGATGTGAAGAAGCAGCCATGGGAGCAAAAGGTTCCTCTCCATAACCGCTGGCATCCAGATATCCCTCCTGTCGCTGATGTAACCGAAGGGGAATTGTTCCGCGTTGAGATGGTAGATTGGACCGGAGGGCGGGTTAGAGATGATAACTCTGCAGATGACATCAAATTCCTGGATCTCACAATTGTAAGTTTATATTTTGCTGTTGTTGGAGATGTCTTCAATTTTTTATTTACTCTATAGCTTTCATTGTGAGCTAGACTGACTACAGATATTCTACAGACTCATTATCTGAGTGGCCCCCTAAGAATAGTTGATTCTGAAGGGGTTCCAGCTTCACCAGGTGATCTTCTTGCGGTAGAAATCTGCAACCTTGGCCCACTTCCTGGAGATGAGTGGGGTTATACTGCAATATTTGAAAGAGAGAATGGAGGTGGGTTCTTAACTGACCACTTTCCTACTGCGAGAAAGGCCATTTGGTATTTCGAAGGAATTTATGCATACTCCCCTCAGATACCAGGTAAAGTTTCTTGTTATTGCTGTGAATGAAGCTTTGCAGTTTTGGATCCTTCCATAATTATGTTTTGGCCTATACCAGGTGTTCGTTTTCCAGGATTGACTCATCCTGGTATAGTGGGAACTGCACCATCAGTTGAACTTCTTAATATATGGAATGAAAGGGAGAAAAGATTGGCTGAGACAAGTCCACAGGCTCTTAAACTGTGTGAAGTCCTACACCAGAGGCCCCTTGCTAATTTACCGACCCCTGAGAACTGCTTACTTGGAAAGGCATGAGCACCCACCTGCTTATTGTGTTGATTCTAGATTTGTGTTTTTCACTCTGTGTAGGGTAGAGTCACACCTGTACGATTAATCCTTTTTTGTGACCTACAAAGCAACATTAATCTTACATTAAAAAAAAACAACATTAATCTGTCAGACTTAAGTATAACTTGCTACCTGTTTGGTTGAGTGCCATGTTCATAATTAGTGCACTACTGTGCAGATTCAGGAAGGGACTGCTGAATGGCACAAAATGGCAAATGAAGCAGCCAGAACTATTCCAGGAAGGGAGAATGGTGGTAATTGTGACATAAAAAATCTAAGCAGAGGTTCCAAAGTTTATCTACCAGTATTTGTTGAAGGAGCAAATCTTAGCACTGGTGATATGCACTTCTCCCAGGGCGATGGTGAAGTTTCATTTTGTGGAGCAATCGAAATGAGTGGATTCCTTGAGCTAAAGTAATAAACTTTGTACTTATTTACACTTCAGTATTACTTTTTATATTGTGATTTATAAATATGTCTGGCAGACAACATGCATTCGGCTACTGGACCTAAGGATGGACCAAACAATCACCTGCATCATATCAGAATTTCAGATCCAACATTGTAGTAAACCTCACATTATTATGTCACATCGATTTTTATAAAGATACTAGTCCGGTACACTAGCACCAGTCATCTTCATAGCAGCTTGCATGGTATTTCTCAGATAACTCATGAAGAATAGGAAGCAAGTTCATGGGATTTCTCAAATAGTTCATAAAGAATGGGATTTGCTATATCATGTTTTCATGGCGTTGCATTAGTTGATGTTCTATTCTGTCATCACAATAGATAAACTTACATTAACGGTTTCTAGCTTGTATATTTGTAACGGTTCAGATACACTCACTCCATCAGTGATCAATTATTTCTGAACCACGCAGCTGATTCAAATCAATGTTGCTGTACATGATGACTGTCAGCTGGATAAATAAAATCTGCCTATGGAAATTCAACTTCCCTTGTGCGCTTCTCAGAATTAACAGTCCCCTGTGGCATTGTGTATAGGTGCGAGATCATAAGAGGGGGGATGAAGGAATACTTGTCCCCAGTTGGTCCGACACCACTACATGTGAACCCTATCTTTGAGATCGGTCCTGTTGAGCCACGTTTCTCAGAGTGGTTAGTGTTTGAGGGCATAAGTGTGGATGAATCTGGGAAGCAGCATTTCCTTGATGCATCAGTTGCTTACAAGCGTGCAGTCCTGAATGCCATTGAGTACCTTTCCAGATTTGGGTACTCCAAGGAGCAGGTAGGCAGTAGGGTAACTACTGATTTTTTTTTTCTCTCGAACACGCAAGAGAGCTGCGTATCAATATATTAAGAAGAAAAAAGGGTAAAGCACCCAGGTAGTACACTGTTTTTTTTGAAAGGAGAGAAAACCAGACAAAAAAACTCCAACAAAAACACACACGCTAGATCACCTATTACATCCAGGAACTACCCATGACCAGGAAAAAAAGATCAACTAGGAGGCTGCAGGGCGAGGAGTTGAGAAATGCCTCGAGCCCTAGCCATATCCCACATGTATAGATCAACCCTGATAGAACGGAGCAAACCATACAGCTCAGGTTGCTGTCCATCAAACACACAGCGGTTCCTGTGATTCCAGATGGCCCAAGCCACCAGGATAACCAAGGAGTCCAGGCCTTGCTTTACAAGATCAGTCACCCTAGTGTTCACCTGTTCCCACCACACATCTAATAGCAGGTCCCCAGGTTGTGGGGCAAGACACTGCAGTCCAAATTGCTGGAAGACAATGAACCAAACTTGGCGCGAGAACACACAGGAAACAAGCAGGTGATTAATCGTCTCCTCCTCTTGATCACATAATGGACATTGCTCTGGATGCGGCAATCCCTTCCTAGCAAGTCTATCAGCCGTCCAAAGATTTGTTATGGGCAACCAGCCACATAAAGAACCGGCACTTTCGTGCGCCCACTCCTCCAGATTCTTTCCCTGGGTTTGAAATGAGTGGCCCCTATGAACATTGCTTCATAAGCCGACTTAGGCTTAGTGAGTACTCCCTGTGGAAGAGAACCTCCAAATGTGAGAATCATCCACTTCCTACCGTAGCACCACCTCAGCCAAAAGTCCCGTAGAGATCGAGAAATTCAATCGAGAACACCCACAAAGTCGCGGGCACCTCTTATGTCTGCAACCCATCTACCATCGATAAGAGCGTCATACACTGTTCTTTTTTCTTTGCACGGCTAGAGACAGAGTTGAACAAGAGTGGAGCAAGCATTTCAAGACTCTGTCCATGTAGCCATTTATCACCCCAAAAAGTGTATTCTTACCATTGCCGACCTCAAAAGATATGGCTGCTTTGAGAAAAAGTTCTCGACAGAGTGATGCACTTGAATGGGAAAAAAATTCCATGGTTTGTCGGGCTCGCTTTTGAGCAACCAGAGCCACCTCATTCTGAGTGCCCACCCTAGCTGTTGTAATTGTGAAATACCAAGCCCCCAATTCCAGAGAGGCCGGGTTACCTTGGGCGAGCAACCAAACAAAGTGACCACCCTCACATCTTTTCTTCCTTCCACAAGAAACCCCTTCTGATCTTATCAATCGCTTTCAAAGCCCAGTGAAGGAAGATCCGGGGCCATTGCCGATATATATTAACATAGAGGTGAGAACAAATTGTACCAAAATTTTCCTACCAGCTTTTAGTGAGCGGTCACTTTCCATCCCGGCAATCTGTCGACAATTTTATCAATGATAGGGTGGACTTGGGCTCTTGTCACCTTGTGTGAGAGAGAGGCACTCCCAGATATTTGCAAGGAAATTCAGAAATCTGGCGGGGAGATGCATAAGCAGATCTGCACGGTCCTCTTCCTAACACCGAATGGGAAGGACATTACTTTTCTCAGATATTGGTTCGAGTCCGAAGCCTCCCCAAAAAGCTGCAGCAAATCTAGGGTGATTCTGATGTCACTCACCGAGGGTCGAAGGAAAATGACCACGTCATCGACATATAAGGAGATCCGGTGTTGTATATTCCTTCTAGCTGTGGGGTTGGAGAAGTTCTTCTTGGTTGCTTTCAAAACAAAAGACAGAGAACATCCATGGCCAATATAAAGAGCATTGGGGAGAGCGGGTCTCCTTGTCTTAAGCCCCGGCGTTGTTTAATTCTCTCCCGGAGAGAGCCATTCAACAGATCTCGAGTGGATGAAGAGGCTAACACCCACCGATGATGTCACACCAAATGCACCCAAAACCCACGTCTTTTAACACTTCCAAAATAAAAGGCCGAAACCTGAATCGAAAGCTTTAGTGATGTCCAACTTTAGGAGAATGCGAGCCTGTTTTTTGCTTGATGTAGATACTTTGTAGTGTGCTTTGAACCAACATGAAGTTATCCAAGATGAATCTACCCTTGATAAAAGCACTTTGGTTTGGTGTGATCAAGCGATCCAAACGACCAGCAAGCCTATTAGCGAGCAACTTTGTTATGAGTTTGGCAAAGGAATGCACCAAGCTTATTGGTCTGTAGTCCCTGATGCTCGTGACATCATCATTTTTTGGTAAGAGAGTGATGAAGGCAGAGTTGAGAAGCTCAAAATTGTTGAAATTCCTGCTCCAAACAGCTGAAGCTGCTGCCATAATATCTTGCTTAATTATAGGCCAGCAGACTTTGTAAAACTTTCCGGTGAAACCGTCGGGGCCTGGGGCCTTGTCAGGAGGCAAGGAACTGATAGTTTTCCAAACTTCCTCCTCAGAGAAAGGATCATCTAGCTCGGATAGGTCAAGATTTGGTGCATTTAGTGCTTCCAAGTTTACTGTAACACCCCGATCCAGATTTTCACCCAAGAGAGTACTATAGAAATTGAAGATATTCTGCTCCTTCTCCTCATGTTTTGTGAGAACCAAACCGTCATCAGTTGTGAGCTTGTATATGAAATTTTTCCTCATCCGATGCCTAGCATGGGAGTGAAACATGGCTGTGTTGGCATCGCCCTCACAGAGCCATGAGATGCGAGATCGGCAGCGCGCAATGGTGCGCTGTAGAGACGAGAGTGCCAGAGAGTGCAGCTTGAGTTTGTTACGCAACCAGAGCTCCAGGCCAGAGAGGGCTCAATGGTCTTGAGCAATTTCAAGCTGGTGCAAAATCTCTCTGGCCAGCCCCAATTGAGTGTTGACATGCCCCACTTTTTTCTGGCTCCAACTTTGTAATCTTCTGACAGTAGCTCTGAATTTTCTTGCCAGGGTGTCGAATGGGCAGCAGGAGGCGTCCACTGAAGTCCAAGCAGTCTCCACTGCATCCTGAAACCCCTCAAGTTTGCACCAGAAGGATTCGAAATGAAATCTTGCCTTGCGAGGTTGAACATCATGCAAACCCAGAAGGAGGGGGCAATGATCAGAGCCATCGGAGGCGCCGCTCTGCAGAAGACAGTTTGGAAACAGGTTTTCCCACTCTGAGGAACAAAACACTCTATCTAGCTTGACAAGCGTAGGGGATTCTTGCTGATTTGACCATGTAAATTTTCGACCTTGCAAGGGCAGCTCTTTTAACTCCAATTCATTGATTAGACGGCGAAATCTGCCCATCATTGCTCTATTAAGAATCCCATTGTTTTTATCTTCAACATTTGTGATGAGATTAAAATCCCCAAGAACAGACCAGGGTCCTTGACAAGCAGATCTCACATTTCTTAATTCTTGTAAAAAGAGTATTTTCCTCTCATCACCTTGAGGCCCATATACACAAGTAAGCCACCAAGGTTGCAGGCCCAAATAGGGAGAACTGCATGTAAATCTGTGTTCATCAACACGATTGGCGAAGGGTCGGGCCAAGATCCCCGCCTCCATGCCGAAGGATTCCTCCACTTGCACCAACAAATTTCCAAAAACGACCCAATGAGAAAAAACCGAGCCCAACATTGAAAGAATGACGCCCTGAGAAATTACCGGCATTTTTGTCTCTTGTAAGCAAACAAAGTCAACACGAGAGGAATTCACTAGCGTGACGCCTTTGCATCTTGGCGAGCCCTCAAATTGAGGCCGCGAACATTCCAAAGAGAGAGGATGTTTGAAGGATTCATTATGTTATGAAGAAGGAAATCGACCCAGACGAGAGAGAACAAAATCGATAACGACCGCAACACACGCCTCCCCACTATCGTGAATGGTCTCTACTTCCCCACACATCCGGGTTGCCCAACCAAAAAGAGCCGCTAAGGCTGAACATGAGATTCAGGGAGAGGTTGACCGAACAACTTGCCATAAGCATCCAGAACATCTTGATGAATACCATCATTTTCATTGACGACGTTCAGGACTGTCATAACTCTTTTCCTGTACCTGGTGGGAACAACTCCGGATGGTGACTCTGGCCCAACACCCGCAATTCTCCTACTTCGTGGTGGGGCAGCAGACGTGTGAGACCGGGCTCTTGGCTTCGGGCGCGCGCGAGTAGGAAGGATTTTTCAATCCGTTTAGAGATTTTCTTCATGAACCTTGATCTGCGCCTCGACGGAGACTCAAGGATGGCCTTGCCGCTGGGAGACCTGCGTGTGGCAGCAGGCGGAGTTTCAGCCATGACCTCAACACACCCAGGACCAAGGGCGAGAGGTTGGTCTGGAGTCACGGCCAAAGACATCAACGCCCGCCGCCCGCCAAAGGCTTCCACGCTTGCCGGAGAGGTTCTCAGAAGCGGAGCCGCGCCACGCCGTCCCCCGCATATCGTCGCCGCCTTACGGAATAGGTCTTCACAGAGAGAAGTGACCCCCGCCCGCCAAGACGCCTTGGGCATCTATAGGCGCTGAGTCAGCAGCGGTAAGATCCGGCGAAGAGCTCATTGCCGCCAGCACCGGAGCCTGGGTTGGAGCTTCATCCAGAGATGGAGAAGCAAGGAGCCCCGCTCCACTAATGACCTGAGACGTCAGGCCCGGCTGGTCAGGACCCCTCGAGGAATGTGGGCTCGAAGCGGTGGGCGGCGGGCCGGTCCCCGGAGATCGGGCGTAGTGCCATCCTTAGCCCACCATGTGTCGTTGCTGAGATTTTCATCCAGCCGAACCGACGAGGCAGGACCAGCCTCCGACAACCAGAACGGAAATCCCGACGTCTGAGGGATCAAATCTTCGTTCGCCAATCCGGGCAAAAAGACCAGTGGCCGGATCATCAATGGCCACCGGCAGAGACGAGGCAGGCGAGAGACTTGAAGGCGCCCGCGTCACCTCGGGCTCCACGGGCTGTGAAGCCGCCGCCTGCGTTGCCTCGGGCGCAGCAGAGTTAGCGCCATCAATCGAATCCTCGACTTCCGCCCCTTGGTCTACAACCACCGGGCCAGCGCCCAATCGCCGATGCACAGGGACCCGCGGGGCACCACCGGAGGCACCAGACCCAAGGGCGACGGACTCCGGCGAGGCAGGGGCTTGACGCCGGCGTCGACGCCTCCCTTGGTCGGAGTCGTCGTGCAGCGGAGGCGAAGGCAGATCGTCTTCCATCCCAAACGAAGTCGACGCAGAAACTGCAATCTTGATTTCATACCTTAACGCACGCTTCACCGGCGGAAAAACTTCAACTTGTATCGGGGGCTCAACAATGTCCAAGTCCAAAGTCGTCGGGATGAGTTCCGGCTGAGAACACCAAGCCTTCAAGCGGAAAACCGAATAGTCCTTGCGATCAATCGTAGCAGGATGGAGCTCGCGCACCCAGCCCCACTCGTCCAGAAGATGTTCTGCCGTCTCCAGTTCCCATGCATGTGCAGGTATACCCCTCAGCTCAATGTCAACAAGCGAGGGCAGCACCACTGCAGACGCACCCTTGAACCGAGACCAGCGCCGGAAGAACAGGGTGAACAGAGGCAAGTGAAGAGGCCTTCCTTCATTGTAGACTCGGACAGCAGAAGCTTCATCGGGGAGGATCAGCAGACCATCTTCACGGCTCAGACTGTGAAACTCCAGCGACTCGATCGGGAGTTCATGGCGGCGAGCTAACTCATCAACCAGAACGTCAACCGAAAGAGTCGCGGTGTCTCCAACAATCGAGACCGAGAGCGCATTGCGAAGTTCATCTTCAGCCCTGGACATCTTAGCTGAACGATCAATGACACGACGAGGCCGGGCAGGAGCATCACCGGAGACGGTCGGAGCATGATCGCAAGCAGCAGACACGTTATTCTCTTCATCTTCCTGGCCAGACGGACCGCCCGAGCCAGCAGCCTTCGAACGGCGCCGCTTCCTGACTCAGCGATGACGTCTCGTCCGCGTGCCTGGAACAGCCGCCGCCCCCACCGCCCCGGAGCCCCCATCGTCAGGCGCAGCTGTTGAGGACACCATCTTCACAGACTTCGAGTCTCCCAGCGTGGACTTAGGACGCCACACGAGGAGAGCCCGAGGAGCCGCCACGTGTAGAGCCTGGCCACGGCCACCACAGACGGACGCACGGTGGCCAATCGCCCGGCACCTGAAGCAGCGAGGCCCCTTCAAGCAGGAGGCCGCATGGTGAGACGGGGATAGACAATTGAAACACCTCCCCCTGAGGTCCGCCGGCACCGAGCGACGAGGTTCGCGCAGCCCCCGTAGCCGCCGCTTGCGAGCATGACGACCCTCGTACCGATGCCACCCGGCCCCGTCAGGGCCCTCTCCGGCAGACGTCTGAGGGGCCCGCGACCGGAGAACGATTCTCGGAGGCCGGCGAACTTCAGCCACCACCGGCTGCGGCAAGGCTGACGAAGAAGCGCCACCAGAAAGGAGCACCTCCTTGAACGAAGGAACGGGAGAGGAGCCGCCCGCAGATGAGGACGGACTGGCGTCGCGCCACCTTTCACCTTTGGAGCGACCTACCTGGGTTGTCAGGGAGGAGGAGGGCTGAAGGGGCTCGACTGGGAGGGTGGCCGTCGGGCCATGAGCAGGCACCGACGTGGGGCTGCTGTATGGGAGGGCGCCGGGGAGGGGAGGGGTGGGAGCGAGAGAGGCCATCCATACACTTAAAACTGTATCATCGAGTTGTTTAACTACTGATTATCCTCTAAGTACCATATATGTTGAACATTTGCCTTAACATTGGGGGATATGTACAGGTGTATCTCTTACTATCTTGCTGTCCCTGTGAGGGTAGGATCTCTGGAATAGTAGACTCTCCTAATGCAGTTGCAACTCTTGCCATCCCTACAGCAATATTTGATCAGGTTCACCCTTAACAGACCAACACAATTTCCTTATTCCTTTTTACTGTGATGTGATGCATTATATTTGTTGTTGTTCCTTCTCCACTGTTCATTATCAGACTATTAAATAATTATGTCCTTTGGTCTGATGTTTGATCTAAATATCTGAGGTGAGCTGCTGATACTATGTGTTATCTGATTCTGGAAAATAAAAAATGTAGTGCCTGTGCTGTCAGTTAATTGTGAGTAGGCTCTACGAATCACAGCATGTCAATGTTGATGCTAATAGGATTAGCTTATGTAATACCAGAACAGCATACATCAGGGGATTTGATATGAGCCAATTTACTTCATGCGGTGTGAGCTGGGCTTGATCAATGGTTCAGTAAAAGTAGATTTATATTAGCTACCATTTTGTTGAAAGTAGATTATGTGAGTAAGCTTGATCACACTTGGCCAGTGGCATGTATCGCTGAGTTATTTCTTATAAAGCAGTCTGTGATACAAGAGACTCAACAATCAAAAATAAACTTTTCCCTGAAAGTTACGTTTAATATGGTCAAACGAGATGAACAACTTGTAAATGTTAATACTGGAATTTTACATGAAGCAGACACAATAGCCAGGGTGAATAAATTATTTTCTCTAAGGACAGATTGAATTTGTATTTCACGATTAAACTTGGTCTTAGTTTATATCAAACTAGTCATGTTGGACAAGTCAAGAGAGTATATCCTTGCTTCATAAGTATTCTTTTACATGAATCCTTTTTTTAACTTCACTGCATAACATTTCAATTGCTAACATAGGATATAAAGCCAAAACACTTGAGAGGAAGACTGGGACCAAAATTGATAAGACTTCCAGATCTCCTGAGCTGCTCAAACAATGGGCATCTTCCTGTCACCCAAGACCAAAGTGGCTCAAGGGCGCCCTAGGGGCATATCTGATCTGGAAATTGATGCCGTATCCTTCTACTTTATACACACAAATAATCATCTTGATATTTCCAACTTCCAAGGATCATCTATGTACTTGACCTGGAATCCATAATGTAGATCTTCGATTTGTCAGGCAGTCATCATGTATGAGGACAGAAACACCTGAGTGGTGCTATATTGTCTGTGTCTGTATTGCTACAAAGTTGTGCATTACTCTCTAGAAATTTTCTTATTTGGGGTGGTGATCTTGTCGAAGTCATGCTGAGATAGTGGTACTATGGTCATAGGCTCAACTTGAGAAATGACTTCACACTTTCGTTTAAAAAAAAGAAATGACTTCACACACAAGTATGTAACTAGCAGTGAAGTGAGGATGGTATAATATGAAAGAACCAGGCAGCTGGCAGATTCACTCTACCTTGCACACAAGAAACCAACACACACTGTTAATCCAGTACTAGCATACTATAGACAGATGCTGCTGAACTCCTGAAATGGCCTCTGGAGGCTGAAGCCAAAGCGGGTGAAGAAATGAGCTTGACAAACGATGCTGGTTGTAGCCTTAGGAGGATGTTAGAGGACACGTGACAACTCAGAGAACTATATATGAGTGGTGGATATTTAATGGAATGAGCATTGTGGAGTTGTGGTTCAGTCAATCTGTACCATTGCCCTTCCTTTCACTACCAGCTGGATCACGAATGTTTGGAAGCTGAACACACACTTTATAAAAGGTTAATAAGATGAGGCAGCTTTGTGATAGCACAAATAAGGAGGTGTTTGGGACTGCTCCACTCCACGTTTTTCAGTTCCGCTTCACGTTTTTTTAGCCAAACAAGTTCAGCTCCACACACTCTGCTCGAGAAAAAAAGGTGGAATTGTGAGGGCACCTAAGGGGTGCTCCACAAACTTCAGGTTTTTTGTGGAACTGCTCCACGGTGGAGTTTGTTGAGCAGTCCTGGACACGCCCTAAGTGTTAAAATATATTTTTGGTTGTATAAATCAATTTAGTCTTTAACTCTTATTTTATGCAATGCTTTATTATTTTCAAGTTGTTCCAACTGTATGCTGAATAGAGATTTGGATTTATAATATTATATTAAATGTATTTCTTACATACTGGTAAAACTTTGTATTTCCACTGCTGGCTCAAGAGTAGCAATTATATCTTGTAATAGGTAAGTTATACAATACTTCAAATAACTCTTAAAAGGGAAATACTAATGTAGCTTTCTGCAGAAGTACTTGTCAATTCTGCTTCTTGGAACAAATATAGAACTTTTAGCTACATACTAGCAAGTTGCAGATTTTCTTCAAAAGAAGCCAGCTCTAGATTGTCCCTTCTTCTATGGTGTTGTCCAGTTTAGCAGGAAGGCAAACGTTGTGTGTGACGTTTGTGTGACACCCCCTAGAATCGAGGCCTCGAAGGGATGGACATTCCGTTGGCATACTGCCAACCAAAAAAAAAAAGGCCTCGAAGGGATGGACAATTTTGTGCACCAGCACCAGTACCTAAGTGTTGCATGTCGCAGTCTGTGGAAAACACAAATGAATAAGACAAGCCAATTTGGTTGGTAAGTACTGCTATAGGACAAGAAAATATCTCTCCGTCATAGCTCTGGATAGTCTATAGGGATGGGCCAGACCAACAAAAAAATTCCTACCAGATAGTGACTAGGTTATCCAAAGCAACTCCAAACACAAATAGTATAGCAAGGTGAAACTGTCCTTTGGCAAGGTGAAAAACTGCTCGGCTTCAACTGAGCTTCCCAAGTGTATGTTTGTTTGAAAAATGTCTTCCTGTGATTCGTTTTCTCCTTCTTGTTTTTACCATTAGCAGATTCATCAACATGCATATCCTACCATTATAAAGGTGCATGAAGCTTACAAAGGGACCAAGTTCTTGAGGTACTGTAATGAAACATGGCTCCACTGACTCCTAGACTGGTAGTGCCCATAGATGTGAAGAAGCTGCCATGGGAGCAAAAGGTCCCTCTCCACAACCGCTGGCATCCAGATATCCCTTCTGTTGTTGATGTAACTGAAGGCGAATTGTTCCGTGTTGAGATGGTCGATTTTACAGGAGGGCGGGTAAGGGATGATAACTTTGCAGATGACCTGAAATTCATGGATTTCTCAATTGTAAGTTTTTATATTTCTTCGGCTGGAGTTTGTTGGCCCACAGTTAGCCTCCCACCACCGAGATGATCTCCAGACCACTTCGTTGGTCTCACAGGATCACCGGCTCACGACAGTGAACCACTCCAGCCGATCTTGCCAACCACCGGCTCAGGCGAGTGGAGCACTTGTCGGTCTCGCCGAGCACGCGCTAGTGTTGCCGAGCACCCACTAGCCGTGCAGACCATGTACCGGCGTTGTCCGTACCCACACACTACGGATCGAGCTAGAAGAGGAAGGGAAAACAGAGCAAGCACGCACAATACAAGGCAACAAATAATGGCGAAGCCCCGTCTGTGTGATGGCAAATCTGAGCTCTCTTTCTTGAGTTGCCATACATGTCTATTTATACAACTCTAACTATCTAGTCCATGTGCGCCGCCCATGCCGCACACACAACTAGATAACCCGGCGAGGGCTGACTCTGCGCCCACCACTGCTCTGTTCCTCTGATCTTTGTGAGGGTGAGCCGTCGCGGCGCTTTGCACCTACAGCTGCCATCTTGATCACAAAGAGGGGGCAAAGTCGGCGCCGCCTTCCCTTGCTGTGTTCACACACAGCAGACAGCTAAGTCGGCGCCGCCTTCCTCTGCTGTGTTCTCACAAGGTGGCAGTAGATTAGCTAACAATCTTCCCCTAATCCTACTGCTAACCCTTGTAACCCCTCCATGCCGATCATCTCCTTCAGCTCCGTGAGTCGAAGTCTTCCTAGCGGCTTGGTGAGGACGTCCGCGAGTTGCCGACCAGTTTCGACAAACTCGATGACGATCTGCCCTCCATCAACACAGTCCCTGAGGAAGTGGAACTTCACGTCGATGTGTTTACTCCGGTCGTGCAGAACCGGATTCTTCGCGAGGGCGATGGCGGGGCTGGTTGTCCACCATCGGTCTTTGGTGGGTGAGCTTCCACACCGGTTAGCTCACCCGGCGGCCGGCGTCTTCCACACAACTTGGCACGCCGCTGTGGCCGCCGCTACGTACTCTGCCTCGCACGTAGATAGCGCTACCACCTTCTGTTTCAGCGACAGCCATGAAATTGGGGCTGACCCGAGGAAGACGAGTACGCCAGAGGTGCTCCGTCGTCCGTCGATGTCCCCCGCCATGTCTGCATCGCTGAACACCGTGAGCTGCAGCCTACTTCCCCCAGTCTTTGGGAAGATAATTCCATGATTCACCGTCCCCTTGACGTAGCGTAGTAGCCGCTTTACCGCAGCCCAGTGATCCTCTCTGGGATCCTCCATGAAGCGACTGACGTAGCCCACGGCTAACGCAATGTCTGGCCTTGTGTGGACTAGGTAGTGCAGACCGCCGACGATGCTTCGGTAGAGTGTTGCATCTACTGTCGCCGCGGTGCTATCCTTCGTCGCCTTCACCGCTCCTCCATCGAGTTACGCATGGCTTGCACTCCACCATGCCGCTCCTCTCCAACAGCTTGAGGCATACGCGCTTTGCCCGAGCGTGAGTTCCTCCTTCCCTGCCTCACCTCGATGCCGAGGTAGTAGGAGAGAGCGTCGAGATCGCTCATTCGAAACGAGCTGCCATCTCTCGCTTGAAGTGTTGATATTCTCCGTGCGTGCGCCGGTGACGATTAAGTCATCCACATACACGCCGACCACGAGTTCTTCCTTCCCCCGTCGTCGCGTGTAGAGCGCGTGCTCGGTTGCGCACCTCTGAAACCCAAGCTCACCCAGCGTGGTGTCAAGCTTGGCGTTCCATGCTCGAGGGGCTTGCCTCGGCCAGTGAGCGCTTTGCGCGATCGGAGCACCTGTGCTCCTCTCCCTTGACAAATAACCACGGAGGTTGCTCGACGAAGACCGCTTCCGCCAGCTCACCGTTGAGGAAGGCCGATTTAACGTCCATGTGATGGACGCGCCAGTCCTTTGCTGCCGCCAAAGCAAGTAGCA